CGTATACAGTTCCTTATAAAAGAACCGTTTACCGTACCTAAACTAAACCGTGGAACTATGAATTTGGACGTAGTTCTAAGGTTAATATTATTTATGGATGTCTTCTTTCTTAATGAGATTAAGATATTTTTACGGGCATACAAAATATACGAATAAATTTAGTCATGATACCGGTCTCCTTAAACTTTTCTCTGAGAAAAACCCGAGAACCTAAACGGTACACAGAACAGGATGAGGGGCGATGTGGCAATGCCCCTCATGTATTGTGATTTAAAGCACTGCAACTATTATGGATACGTGTCGCTTATCATCCCGTCATTTGATATCATATAAAATTGTCTATTATTTTACAAAAAAAAATCATTCCCTGGCGTAATTGGCAGAGTATCTGACACGGATTGTTTGAGCGTGCTGGTTCAAATTCAGCAGGATCGAATGAATTTTTCTAAGTATTCGATCTTTGTTATAACAAACTAGTGGAGTAATTTCACACAAAAATAATTGTAATAACTGGAATAAAACATAGTAACAATAAATAAACTACAAGAAAAAAAACCTCAAAAATCATAATTATTGATGTAAGCGCAATACAATAAAAAAGACACAATTTGCAAATTTAAAATGTGATTTAATAATAAAACCATGTCTACGGCTCCGCTACAGACGACAGGTTTCCGTGATATTCTGCCATAGTTTCGATAATAGGATTTTTGTTAATAATCAAAATGTACCATTTACTGCGTTACAATACCTCGTTATCTAAATGTTCGAATAATAAACTAAATTGTTTAATATTTTTACCTGTAACAAATTTGTATTTAAATTTGTAAACTATACGCGTAGTGCTTTTTATGTGAATACTATCAATGTGGTAAACACGTAACAGCTGATTAAACACTGCCCGACAAAACGTTTATTATGCCAAGTAATTATAATTTAATTTTGCAATTAAATTTATTTTCAGTTTATTATTATTTGCTTATACGTTATACCTCCAACGGAACAAATTAACATGCAAATCTTCAGAAAATAAAACTCCTTCTAAAATTTTTATTACGTTATGAATATAAACCAAATCATCGCGATGAAACTTGCATGTCATTGATGGTTCAAATTATACTTCGTCTGTAATTATAGTTCTCAAGACGCGTTCGGTGAGTGTATTTATTTTTTACCGACTTAAGAAAGAAAAGACTCTCAATCTACTGTATTTTTTGTTTTGTATGTATGTTACGCGATTAGGTACTCCGATTTGTGAACAGATTTTGATGATTTTTTTTTTTGTTGGAAAGTACCTCAGTATTGGTTCCAGTAAGTGTGATGAATCCGGTTTCGCGCACTTTCCGGAAACCCATTTCAATAAAATCTGGCAAAAATGTCATTCCACGAACTTTTGAGGTCGGTTTTTTATAATTATGATATCAATCGGTGTACAAATAACTAAGTTGTTGAAACGACTCAGCTCTGCAGTGTGCGCGATAAAAATAAACGAAAACTTTCAGACATAGAAACTGCTGGATTGGTTTATTTTAGCTACTTTTACAGTTTGATGACAATAGTATTTTGCTTTAGGAAAATACCAGCGACATTACAGAATCTTTCTTCTGTAGAAGCGTGTACTTAGGCAATTACAAAAGGGGTCCCTAGAGGCTATCTAAAAGACAAATTTAAAGAACTTATCTCTTCTTGCAATGACCTTACCTTATGAGTGAAGGAACGAATAAGTCGTTGGCCTGGTGGTAAGTCACACGCCTGTCCATATCAATTGCAGTGCCACTCAGAGCTTCGCAAAGATATGAGGGGCGTTGCCACTGCACCCGTCACCCTGAGACAAAAGTTGACAAGTCCTTGTATCTGTATCAGCACCCTTACCCTTCAACTCACGTTATTGCTTGGCGGCAGAAATAGGTGAAGTGTCAGTACTTCCCTGAACAAAATCTTTCACAAGGAGATTTACTGCTACTAGAGTGCTGTGGTGAACTTAGCCCAAATGGGCTAGGGGCAGACACTGGTATAGGGGTTGATGATGTTGGTGGCTGCAACACCTGCTCTTCCTCGATGCATTCTCGTCTTACAATCATTAATAAATTCCTATGCTTTTCAGGGAAAGTGGAAGCTATCCAATCCAGCTCCATCGTCGTGTCGCGAGCAGTGGCTGACTGAATGATATTGAAACGTTAAATATTGACAAATCTAGCTGTAAGAGTCATTAGTTTTACAATATTGCATTACAAATAGATTTTGGACCTTTATATTTATATTCTACAACTTTTAGCTGTTTAATTAAGTGTAAACAACGCTTTTTAATTGTTTGTAAACTTTTAACTATTGTTTGAACTTCGAATAGTATAGATAAGATCATGTTTGCAAAAAATTTACAAATTGTTTACATTCAATTAAATCGTCTATAATGTTATATAAATTCTTATAAGAGCTGAGATCAAATAGACAAATCCAATAGTATTTTTGTATGGAAACCTCTTAGGAATAAACCTTCTACTTATATAGTATACAGTATATAATACATACTTATTTCTGTATTATGTGGTTATAATACATTCTACTGTTTACAGTGTCGCTAGGGGCATAGTATCTTTAGTAGCCCTGTAATGTAAACATCATTTATATCGAAAATCGACCAATCATACAAATGTATGACGTCTAATTAAAACCACATTTTACTATAATTTAAATGGTACATTATTTTACATAGAATAAAGAAAACTGTATTAAAATAGCTATAGTTATTCTTTTTGTTTAAAAGTCGATTTTTATTGTGACTATTTAACAGAGACATTTCTTTCGTGCACTTGTTTCTAGAATATGCGCCCAAGTTTATATTTTATTTACCTTTCTTGAACATGCTCGGAAATGTGCATTTTATTTTGAACTAAGAACAAGCAAAGAAAAGGTTATCAGGATTATATAAAGTTCTTTTTTTTCTTTTTACTTTTAAATATTTGACATATAAACAACTGCATACAACATCGAAGTGACTGAACACAAATGCCATATAGCCAAGTCGTCAGCTCGTTTTTTTTACGCGCATTCCATGTGTTCGTTTTTAAATTGTTTTATAAAAGATAAATGGCGAATAAATGTATTCGCGTTTGTATAATTTCCTTGCATTTATTGAGCAAAGCTCTTTATAATTCTCTGCGGAAACAGCAACTGTTTGACTCACAAAAAAGCTCTTGCCTGCGATTCGTGTTTCTTACGTGGACCTTGACAATAATGTCCTATAAAATGCGGAATCTAAATGTGCTTATAAAGCTATAGCTTTATAGGATAAACCCCTACTGGAATGCAATCATAACCTGCATTTAGACCTTTAAAACACTGCCTAATTACTGATTCACAAGGGGAAGTCTCTGTTAACTAGTCAATTTCAGTAAACTTTTGTAGTCAGTCCGCTAATGTTATCGGCACTTGCTCGACCAGCATTCCTCCAGAAGCATTTTGAGCCAAACCGAGAGTGGATGATTGTGCGCATTGATTGTAACAACTTCAGGACTTCTGTAAGTTCTGAAGTTTTAATATTTAATTCAGTATCTATATGCCAGTATTAGATTTTGATATTAATAACTTTTTGATTGAAATTTTATAATTGTAGTGTAACTGGACTTGTAAATACGCTATGGTTACAAAAAAAATTATGACGATTATACTGTATTGCTCTTAAACAAAATCACAGGAGAATAAATAAAACAATTTTAAATACCAAATTTGAATTACAAATTGTTAGAAAACTTAGTTTAAGTTTCCTGTATATTTCTTGACCTGGAAAGTTCTAAGATTATCGTGTAAAGCAATCGTCTAGGCAGACGTGGACCATCCTCGCCCTCCATCTTCACTTATCATCTATTTGTACATCATTTTCCTTATCGTGCAGGGCAAACCTAAGTCAATGGAATAAACTCCCACTTGAGTAGTCAGGAGACTGGACTTCCACCCGCTAGGCTTCTGACATACCTCGCCTCCATCCATCGCCATCTCCTCAATTTTCTCAGATTCAAATATATTTTTATCCTATGAAGGCATTGACTTACAAATAAATGGACGACGGGTCTAATACAAAAACCACGAAAAAAATGTCCCAAGTCAACCTATTTAAACGTAGTGACATGTAAAGGAACATGAAAAAGCTAAAACGTTGAATTTAAATTGTAATGTCATCGCAGTACTGTCTAATTTTGCTTGCTTCGCTGTCAGTCGAACAAACGAAGACTGAAGCGTGAATGACGCTCTGTATACGATTTTAACGCCCTACAAGTTCGGACACTTTTTAGCGCGGACCCGACGTCCATATAATTGTAAGTCAATGTATGAAGGAAAGAAAATTACACTTGAAATCGAGCTC